TTATATTTTATTTATTTACCTATTTATTTTATTTATTTATCTATTTATTAAATTATTTAATATTTATATTTTTATGTGAGATGTGGTGACTTAGTGTAGTTGGTTAGTTGTCACTCTTCCAAGTGGCAGGTTTAGAGTTCGAATCCCATAGATGACGATTTTGAAAAATAAATCTGTGTACGGTTAACAGTTATCGATTATTGGTTGGATTTAATCTGTAATCTCGGTCACACTATATAGTAATGAGAGCTTTGGCGCAATAAATTTGAGAAACCGGAATAACCGAAAACCCGTTTGGCAAGTTCCAAGTTGGGATGTAGCAATGATCTTTGATGATATCACAGGAGGGCTGAATTCGAACTGGGGCTTGAGATTGGAGAACCGAGCGACCAGGTCCTATAGTGGAGGACATACCAGCTGAACCGCTGGGTTGTCAGACCAGAGGAAAAGGGTATACACTTCGAAAGTATGGACCAAGAGGAGGGTGTTTTTCAGGCACCTAAAGCCTGGGCAGACTGACCCATCTGGGTTGCCGGCTGGAAGTAAGGGAGGGACCAATAGAGAATCTGGGTAAGGAGACAGTTCCAAATGCAGGTACTGGGGTTGTTGGGAACCTTACAAGAGCAAGGAGTACGTAATGGGCGACTAATTAGGAAAGTTGTGGCTTGAGATATGGATCAGGTTACGGCAGCACCCCAAAGGTTGGCTTGAGATACGAACTCGGTGACGGCAGTACAACAGGTACTATTTAGGAAAAAATTACTGAACATGCAGGTAAAAACATGTGTGGGACATGGACTACTCTGTTAGGTTTACCTCGTGGATAGATTAACCATGTATGGTTAGTTAGTCTTAAGACAAGGAATTGATAAATCTAAAAATGGTTAGTAAGTCCTAAGGTAGGGTGCAAAATCTATAGGTGTCGCAAAAGCTACTATTGAATAGTGAGTTACACCTTGGTTAGGTAGAATGTAGCTAGCAGTTGTAACCAGAGAGTTTAAATGGGTACCCCCTAGTTGGGGTATAGGTACAGCAGATAGTGTAGAACCTTCGGGCAGACTACTTAAATTAGGCACTCAAAAGGTATACATGTGGCTATATGTACTCTCGTTATAACTGTATATGTTATATATCTACTTAATAAAAAGTCCTTAGGCTGTAGAGGTTACCTTAACACCGAAAAAAAAAAATTTTTATGTTTAGAATTTGTGGAAATTCTCTAAGGCAAAATGATCTAGAAGATATTATTATTCCGTATCTTGAAGATACTTATACATTCGAAATTGCAGCATACGTATGTATTTTAAAAATATTTGGTTTTTACTAGATTGTAATTTTAATATACAGTATATATATTTTAAGATTTATGGAGTAATTTAAAAATATATTGTCAAAGCTGATAAATTCTCTGGACTATTATTATGGGCCTCTGTTGAGCATTCAAGTCTCATTAGCTGGTGGCAATCAAATTTTTTAAATAAGTTTCCTCCTATGGTTGAACTAGCTTGCCAGGTTTTTTCATTGCCAGTCTCTTCTGTTGCTGCAGAACATTGTTGGTCCAATTTCGGGTTCATCTATAATAAGCATCGTGCACGCTTAGATAATAATCGGGTAAAAAAGCTTGTAACTGTTTACCAAAATCTGAGAATCCAAAAAGAAATCAAAAACGAAAGTTGGTTTGATGATGATGATAGTAATGATAATTTGGAAGGATAAATTATTTATTAAATATACTGCTTAAATAATTTTCAAGAACTTTATGTAGCAGTAATATTTGCAACACATATTGTAGACCTTGACTTTCAATATAGCAGAATGCACATTAAAAAAAATTAAATCGGTCAAAATGCAAAAAAATAAAAATAAATCGGTTAAAATGCATTTTTATAACTCTTTCATAATTTCTTTTTATATGTATTCAATGAATTAATTATAATTATAAAAATGTACATTTATTCAATAAAAAAAATATAAAATAAATTAAACTGGTCATTTGATAAAAAAAATATAAAATAAATTAAACCGGTCAAAATTTATAACTTCTTTATAATTTTTTACAAGCAATAAATAATTCAACTATAAAAAGTTCAGTTTCCATCAAATTTCAGATCAGCCACCAATATTTTTTAAAACAATAAAAAATGTATAAAAAACTGTTTAAAATGTTTTTTTACCATCCCTAGTATTAACTCTAGAATCAGCTTGTATTTCTTTGTAATATAAACATCTAAACTTTCAAATCTAGTTGGTAATACTAAAAAACAACACTGCAACAGAATATCTTTTTTGATAAATTTCTAATTCTAATTAGTAATATAGCTAACAAACAAAAAATATATTATAATATAGATGAAATTTTTAAACATTTTGCATTTAGAGAAAATTAAACTTTTGTATATTATTCAGAAATGCAATTCATTTCTGTATATAATAATAGTCAAACAACTAAACCACTATGCTATCTTACTAATCTCTATAATTTTTTAAAATTTGATTTTTTATGTTTTTTTTGGCAAGATTTTTTAACAACCATATAATTAAACTTAATATATATATTTTAATAATGGTATAATTAATTTTAATAATTAAAATCTTTTTTAAATTTTATAGTTTTAAAAGTTAAAAAAAGTTTTTAAATATTAAAATCAATTATTTTATTGCTAAAATATTATTGTTTAAAGTTTATTAAAAATCAAAATTTATTTGATTTTTTAACAAACTTCTAACAATAATATTTTAAAAAATAGATTGCCAAATATAAAGTCTATATAACTTTACAAAGTTATTAAATATATTTTTTTAGAACCTTTGTATAAAAGTTATAACAATTTAAAAATTAAATATTTTATATAACTGTTAAGTATAGGTTTTTTGTATCATATAATTTAATTATATTACTCTATTTTTATTATTTATAAATTTTTAAAATAATTTTGACTTTTTAATACAATTAATTAATTAATATTATTATAGTATATATAACTTATATACAAAAATAAAATTTAAAATTATATATAATATATATCGATATTAATTTATAAATATTTATACTATATAGTACTGTATATTAATTTTATAAAAATAAAGATATATATTGTATAATATCGTAAAAACCATAAATAATAAGAGTAATCATGATACGTAGTAAATTAGGTTTGCAAAGATAATATTTATAACATGATGATAATTTGCGACAGAATTTCAAAAAATTATGAAGCATACATATCGTGTAACGTATCTACTAATCGCTAATGCCCGACGTAATACTCCCAAAAATAAACTATATTTAATATATTTGTACAATATACAAGATACATGTGAAATTTAAACATAACCCATGTATTATCGCTACGTTATTCCGATATTTAAAATTAAATAACTATTTTATTTATTTATTTATATATATATATATATTTATTTACCTATCTATGTACGTACTTATTAAACTTATCTACTCCACTAATATAAATTTTAGGAGATACGTTACGTATCAAAATGTACTTTTAGCAGCCTAAAAAAAATAAAAATATAAATGATATCAAGTAGATGCATAAGATCTAGATCTAGAATAAAAATCTTGTAAAAAAGATGATTTATTATACGTACGTACGTAAGTACAATAAAAATAATAAAAATATTTAACTCAATCATTATAATCGAAAAGGACTAATAATCATGTATGTAGGTAATCACGCGAAGCTTGTTATTTAAGTAGATCAACGCTTATTTTGAAAAAAAGGAGTAATTACTAAATTTAAAAGAAATTCTAGACCAAAAAAATTATAAATTTACGTATTCATGATGTATATAGAATTATTTTTGTAAATATTATTTGTTTAACTTTATTAAGAAATAATATTATATAAATATAAATATATATACATATTATAGTAATTCTTTTAATTGTGAAATTGGAATAATTTTAAGAGTTTTAATTAATTTGACAAATCGATTTTTAAAATCGGAAAAGGATTATTATTAAAAAAGGAAAGTTCTACGCGCATATAGATTATTCTGCAATGTATTTACATAATCAAGGTTCATAAAAATAAGAAAAATGATTGCTTTGTCATAAATCTCCTGATGTTAAATTTGCAAATACTGTCAATGATCAATGATAAGCGATCAATGATCACAAGGTTATCACAAGAAATAAAGTATACCAGATACAGGTAAATGCAAGCGAGTATGTATGTATATATGTACAGACGTATGTATGTATGTATAGTATAGTATAGTATAGTATCGGAATACATAACGATATGTAGGTACGAACGCACGACAGAATTCTAAATATAGAAATGTTTTCAAGACAGTACAGCAGCAGTACAGAATAGCAATACAGAATAGCAGTGCACAGATTAGCAGTACACAGAATAGTAGTACACAGAATAGTAGTACATAGAATAGTAAAGATAGTAAAAAAAGCATTTTTAATAATAACAAAAAAAGTAAGTGCATTATTATATATTGACAGATTTGTTAAAGTTGAAATTCCACAGAGATATGTACATTTTTGGGAAATCAACATGAAAATTAATGCAAAGAAGATATTTTTAAAAGTTACGAGATTGAGGGATTAGACCTAATGGATAATGAGTAATAGGTTGTCGGTTAACACGTGGAAAAAATTGAGAATAAAATTGCTGATGAGGAGTAAACATAAAATGAGAACGATTAAAAGGTATAGCAGTGTTAAATTGAGAAGGAACTAAATATTGAAAACGATTTAATTGAGATGGTATTTGTTGAACAGGGTTTGATAAAAGTAATGGGTTTATAGAAATCGGATTAACGATCTGATTTGTAAATATCAAATCTGCATAAATAAATTGATAATAGTTGAATAAATGAAGAATAATAATTGGATAAAATTATATATTAGTACAACGTAAATAATAATACAATAAATAAATAAATAAATACAGAAAATGTCATCACATATACGTACTTGATTGCAGTTCATCATTTTCTTCACGTTCATAATCTGGAGTCACATTCATTATGTTATTCGCTATTGTTCGACGCTGATCAATCCAATTTAGTAAATCATCATCACTGATGTTTGAATATTCATGCATAGTGGCAATAACATCTTTTGTCCAATAAACTTGAGATGCACCACGAAAAATAAAAGGTAGGGTACTAAGTACTTCATCTGGAACACACCAATTAATATAGAGTGTGTCACGTCTAAAAAGGAAAAATAGAAATGCATTGTTTATGACAACATTCATGTATAACAACATTATGTACGCATGTATAACAACATTGTACGTATATGTATATATATATATGTATATATATGTATATATAACAACTATATGTATAACAACATTCAAATAATTATTCACGTGAAAAAAAGAAAAATTACCTAGTAGTTCGTTCATCAAGGCACATTTCACAACATCTTACTCTGAATTGCCAATAAACTTTAACGAAACCAGTTTCACGTTCTTGACAAAATTGACAACCTTTCCTTAATTGTCTAAGTACGATATATTGTTTTTCATCCATGCCAAGTGGAGGAGGTAATTGAAGGTGAGGTAAGAAATTTTCACGAGAGGTTCTCCAGATCGACTGAGAAACCGGTGAGACAGGATTGCATAACAACCTCCTGAATGTTTGACAAACCAAAACTAGAGATAATAAATCATCGGGCGGCAGATTCGCGCATATATAACTAAATATTTCTACAGGAATGTCGATCATGCTGATAGGTTTAGAAAGAAGAGAAAGACCATCATTGATTGTTTTTGAGAGTGTTTGCCGAGGAATGATTGGAGTTGGAATTTTTGCAATCTTTGGTGTAGTAAGGATTGGGGATAAATTAGGTTCAGTCTCTTTAATAATAGGTACATCAACAGGTATATCGTTAGGTGGATCCTCTTCAATTGGTGTGATCGGTTTTGGTGATTCAACAAGAGTTGTTACATTTGTTATGGGTGTAATCTCTTGATTGATCTCTTTAATAATCTCTTTATTGATTTCTTTATTGATTTCTTTATTGATTTCTTTATTGATTTCTTTATTGATTTCTTTAGGTGAAGATAATTTTTTTTTACTTTTTGAATTGGAACTGACAGATTTACTATTTTTACGCGATTTACGACTAATCATGACACGAAAAGAAAAAAAAAGTAGATACGTAGATACGTAGCAAAAATATATTTAACATATTTAGCAATAATAATAACAACCGATAATTAATGATATGGTTGGGAGAAAGACAGATACATACACTTTATTATTTTGATTACTTATTTCTCCCATCTTTATCTTTAATAATCTTTAATGTTCTTATGTTAATGTTCTTGATGTTAATGTTATTGATGTTCTTTAATTAATGTTCTTGATAATTCTTGAAATAGAATTGTTTTGACGAAAAATAAAGTCGTATAAAGCCTTTTTATAAAATTTTTATTTATTTATTTATTTATTTAATAATATTAATATATTAATATTATTATAGAGAATATAAACCTGATTACGAGAAAGTCAAGATGATTAACGTTCAATTGCAGCAACGTGTTTGTGCATTGGCAATTTCCCCCGTAATGTAAAACAAAAAAAGATAATAGTTTTTTTTTTTTTTTGACACACATTTAAATGATTACAAATAAATTGAACTCCGATTGGTAGTTTCACCAAAAAGTCACGGCGCATATATTTGTTGATCTGCGTGAAACGATGCAATCAATATGTTTATGTGAAGTGAAGAATAAATTTTTTATGGAAAACATGGGGCGTTTTTTTTAATACAGTAATACAGTAATAATAAGCAAGATTTCCTCTTACTATTCTTACTATTGTAAATATTGTAAAACTTGATTTTTTTATTGGATAATATTTCAATATAGTACAGTACTAGTACAGTACTAATTACAGTAGTAATATAGTACAACTTATACAATATATGACACTATAATTGTATCAATTATAGTTGTATCAATATTAGTAAATTAATGATACATAAATACAGTAATACTTTAATAGTACTGTACATACGTGCGCATGTACGCACATTTTTTAATCATATTTCAATCATACTTTAAAAATCACATACACTACATATCTACATATACTACAGGTATCGGAGTACGTGCGTTCACTTCTTCCAATCTTGTTAAAATAAATAAGATTGAATTTCCAGGGAATTATTTATCAGATTACTTGTTTATTTAAAGATAGAACCAATCAGGGAAGATAAAGTTGTAGATCTTTTTTATGCATCTATCGTTGTTTATTTGTATTGTGAAAATTCTCACCTTTTACAAACAATTTATCTTTTTTATCTATTTATGCTTTTGGCCCAGTGCGAAATGCAAGATAATTTTTGTGTAATGTAAAAAAGTTATGTAAAGTTATGTAGGTTGTCTTCTTGTTGTTGTACCTGTTTGATGTACTGCCGTGTGACTTTTACATCTAAAGGGCGCTATATTTCTCCCTTTCTAAACAATCAACAATACTTTTGCATTTGATTATCCAATAGATACGGTCTTGTGACTGAAAAGCCACGATCATATCCCATGCATTTTTCACTTATCTAATTTTTCTTCACACGCCTAATTCCTAAATGAGGCGCTGTCATTTTACTACTCCGCTATCTTACTATTTAGGTTAGTTTACTATTCACCTTTTCTTTTGTTTCAAAATTTTCCTGTGGCTATTTTCTTTTTTCTTGATTATTATTCAATTAACTTCCTTTTTAGTTTTCTTTATTTCTTCAAAGACGTTGCATTCTATTATTGGCATCTGAATTCTATTTTCCCTATTCCATTTGCAGATAACCCTGCGTAATATAACAAATCCTTTTTTTTCTTTTGGTTTTCTCATGACCTTTTTGATTCCCCGACTGCAATTCATACTCTATGCCGCCTTTTTTTGTTTTCATTGTCAATGGTAAACAATATTGGGTTATACAAAGTTTAGATTTTATTTTGTATCACTTGTCCTTGTCTCTTTCTTTCTGCTTTTTTTTATTGGTAACTTAATAATCTTTTTAATTTATTTCTATTTATTCTATTTTCGTATTTTTTTTGGCCCTCGAAATTTCCTGTATTTCGTTGATCATGTGATTAATTAAAAATTTTTTTCGACTTTTTTAGTTACCGTTGTTCAAATTAGAATTATATCTGCTTTTTTATTTGTACTTTGCAGATTTATAAATAATAAATTTCAATGTACTGAAAGTTATACGATGTACTACTTATACATACATAAATACCAAGTACGTACGTACGTACGTATGTACTCACTTACGTAAATGCTTAATTTTCATTTTGGGTAAATGAATTTCCGCGATAGCTACCTGTTACGTATGTACTGCAGTACTGTCATACTTGCATTACTATCGCATCGATGTTTCATGTGGTGAAATCAATTTAATCTTTCATTTCTAAATAGAATTTGCTCTCAATCATGTGATTAATAAACAATTCCTTTATTTACCTTGTCATTATTACTGTGCCAAATTCTTTTTTTATTTTATAACCGGTAACTTGCGTTAGTATTTTTCAATACACAAAAAAATTTTATTTTGATAAATTTGTAAATTACCAATATTAGTTAAATAATATGTATCATAATATGTATCATAATATGTATCATAATACGTATCGTAATTTTATTAGTTGATATTATTATCTTACTGTACAGCATTATTTCATTTAACGATAATTGTTTGTTGTTACGTATTGCACGATTATTTCAATAATTAATAAAACCTAAAGTTATCGTTTATTATAATTTGTACATAACACTAATCAGAATTTCTTATTCATTTTTTTAAAGTATCGTATTACAAATATTTATGCATAATGTCTTTTTATCAATCAATAAATATGTCCCTTAAATTATATCAGTTAAGATACCAACATTGATTATGAATCCATTTTCTTATATCTCTATAGAAATTCTTGCATCATTATGATGCATATTATGAACATGCTGCTTGATTTATAATGTTAAATAGAATTTTGTGCCGTAGGTACGTACGTACGTGCTTTTCGTTTTACATACCTGATACTATAGCTATCATAGTCTTTAAAGTTTTCTAGTCTTTGAATTAATTTTATTTTTTTTTGAATATAATTTAATTATCGCGGTTTTCGAAATGTTTGACACTAAAATATTTTGTATACTCACTAAAAAATTTTTTTGTATACTTTAAATACAACTTATATATTTAAAGTATACAAAAAATTTTTTTAGGGTTAGATGATTTTATATCAGTATACAGTGAGTATACAAAATATTTTAGTGTCAACCATTTCGAAAACCGCGATAAACGAATGTTGACATAATAAATATTAAAATTACCTTTGTTACTGTTGTTGGTGGTACTCTTGTTATCTTAAATAATATACAAATATATTTTTTAAAGAAAAGCTATAAAATTAAATCTAAATATTAAGCTCCAAATTTCAACAGTTCCTGTTTCCTTGTATAATCAAAATCAAAATCATATTTTATCTCGAAACTGTGATCAATATTTTATAATCAATCCTCAAGATAATATCTAGTTAAAATAAAATAAAGTGAAAATTAGCCTCTTTATATTTTCTAAATGAAATTTAAATTCATTAGCCATTATAAAGAGCTATATCAAAATATGTAAAAAAAAAGATGAAAGTCGTCTACATTCAATAAAATAGGTAGGTGAGAATAATTAAATGTTAAATGTATAACCGGCTTATAATACAAAAAGAGTCTAAACATTGATTTTACGTAAATAATAACGTGGATGCTAACCAAATTTCGAGTTTGATAGTCTTAAAACGCCATTTCCAAAATAAGACACTTCAAAATTTTGGCGTAAAAGGAAAAAAACATAGCGTCTGCGCTAATTTTTGCAATTGTACTAAAACAGATATAATTTGACACCTTTTAAAATCCTAAATAGCTTTTGATCCACTGAACCGTTTTTAATGAAACAGCTACCAAAATATTCTTCACATCGAGGCGATTCTAACAAGCCCAAAATCACTCAAACCCAATCATTGGATCACAAGATTGCCAAGGTTTTTGGCTATAGTAAAGTATCCGGTGTACATGTTACTTAAAAAATCTGCCGATGATTATCATCGACCAATTTAGAAAATTTAGACTGACAATTTAATCGAATATTTACTGACACAGATTGACCGAAAATTCAGCACATATGGGAATTCATAGCATTCAACCATAAATGGTGCTACAAACATTTAAATTTGGAACAACGCCAAAATTCGCGAAAACAATCAAGTTTTAATAGAAAAGCTTTGATTATTAGAGATAGTTAATTTAGTGAACATATTATTCTTACAACAATCGAAATTTTTATATTATACCATGAAAAATGAAACGTACTATTATTTGAAAATGTATTTAAACACCGATATTTTACCATAGTTATTCTTGTGATTTTTACCCCGAAATTCGATTTTACCTTAAATTATAACTTTCGATATATGTTTGAAACATATTTAATAATAATTTCAATCATAATACTTATACCACTTTATATCTCAATCGTGATTATTAATTACCA